GAGTCCTTTTGTTAGGAAGAAATCGAGTATGTCCGGGATTCTATTGTGATCAGCTGGCCCGTTGGTAGGTTCTGATGGAGCAATTATGTTTAGGTGATTTGTATCGATGCTCAACATCAATTGTCTTCCCCTAGTTGTTATTAATCTTGAGCCCCAATGCACATGTTTGGAGTTCCAGTCGCCTCCTGTTATGAAGCGATTGCCTAGAGTCGCGAAGAAATGAGAGAACAGGTCGGCGTCTATTCGATGTTTTGGTGGACAGTAAATATATATATAGATAAGCCATCTTGGGCTCAAATTGCATTTGTTTCACAATATTTTTCTTTTATAGACAAGTACCTCCGGATGTTTGCCTTCACAACAATGTATTTATTGCGTACATAAACAAATTGTTGCACTGCCGAGATGGACACTTAATCTAATCACTGCTCATATAAACTGCAATAAATCAAAATCAACTTTACTTATATATGTATATGTATTACGTTTCTACTTTATAGCAGAGCGGGTAGATTGCCTCCCAGATGAAGAAAATATTTCCCTTTTTTCCGTTCATTGTAATATTGCTTTTACAAATATGAAAGAAAAGATGCATACAAGTATTCGAATCCCGTCCATGAACCTCAACAACCAGGCTATACTGCTGCTAATAAAATAACAATTGAAAATCAATAATTATAACTCCATTGTTTAAAAAACTACAACATTAATAACGGGTGTTCTGAGAATTACGTAAACTGAATTAAAACGTGAGTTAAGTTCGGTGGCGGTTGTTGTATGGATATGTTCAGATATATGTAAACTGAAACACTTTGTTTAAAGCTGGGTAACAAGTGACTTTAATGGTTTAAAATATGAGCTTATAACTAACATAAAATTTGGGGTAGTGGGGTTGCGACGCTAACAAAAACTAACTTGGCTTATTTAAGGGTTCATAAATCTAAGTTATACTTCAATACAAGTGTAGTCGACCTTTTTGGAGATTATTGGAAACGAGAATGTTCTATTACAATTTATGAGTGTGGAAAAAACTAAAGGGGCTCATATTGGCTCCAAATAGGGTTGTGAAAAAATAATCGATTATTTTAAAAGTAAAACGATTTTTTTACGCAATTTTTATAATTGAAAATCAATCGTAGTCGATTTTTCATCTGCCAACTCCCGACATTATGTCTGGTCTTTTATAACCCGGACCTCGAACTATTAGGGATATTTGATATCCATCGATGTTTACAATGCGATACATTGAATCCGATTCTTTGAAGATGTATATGTGATATGTTTTTTTGTAAAACATCGAAAGGATGATAAAACCAGTTAATTTTACAAAAACGTTTGAATGGAACACTATAATTTAAAAGTAAAATAAATTTATTCAGCAGCACAAGATTACATACAATTAAAAAGACAACAAAAATACTGCAATGTGCTACTGAAAAGGCATACACTCAGCATTTATCAAGTTTCACCTAAAATCTATCAAAACGAGATTAAGTTAATTTCGATTTTGATTATTCTTAAACGTCAATTTGTGTTTATAATTTCTTAATTGTTTATTTTTAATTAAAAAAACCATGAAAAATAAAATATTTAGGGTGTTTATTTTGAAATTAATTCAAAAATTAGGAAAATATCGATTAATAAAAAATCGATATTTTATGCAGAATGTCACATCCCTAGCTTCAAATGTGCGATGATTGTTTCCATTTTGTTTACGAATCTAATTATTAACTAATACAAGTCAACAAAACTTCCTTAAGCGCGACTAGGGACTAGGGAGTAACTCAGATTTTTTTTATGACGGAAGTAACGCTTAAACGTAGTTTCCGCTATTTAAAATAATACGATAGCGCGTTTTATAAGTCCGTCAGCGCCACCTAGTGGTGCATTATTTGAACTAATTAAGTCAGTTTCTTAGTTTAGGATAGCATTCATTCGTTTTATATGATACTGATTCTTGTAATTATGTTATTATTAGTATATTCATATTTAAAATGAAAATCCATACTAGTAACATGTAACCAAATTAAAATTCCACTAAAGAGGGAAGGTTCCCATTCTAGCTTGCTTTTCTTTTGTTATGTCGTGTTATGCATAGGCCAGTTTTTTTGCTTAGTTTCGTATTTTACCATTTTGGAAGAAGTAAATTAATACCAAATTATTATCTTAAAAATCGGGTCTATTTTATATCAAAATAACCAAGTTGTATAAGAGAATAAAAAAGTGAATAAAAAAACTTCAACAGTTTTAAAAAAAATGTTTTAAATTGCAAAGTTTTTTGAAGATCTCTAAATATACTTATTGATTTATTACTTTTAAAATAAGTAAATTAATAATAAATTTTCTGACGATTGCGACATTCTATAATATTCAATAACAAGGTAATATAATTAAATTATAATATGATATTTATTAGTTAAGTTAATATTTAATAATTTCAGTGATATATGCCGTCAACGCCAAAGAAGTTTTACTTCAATCGCGCAGGTTACACGCACACACTTTTTTATTACTAAGAAATATTTTTAAATTGTTTTCCTAATATTTGGTAGCAATAAAAATGAGTGCACAAACACAAGGGTTTATCGACGCATCTGTCAGGTTCAAAGAACATTCGACCTTTATTCGACTCCATGCCAATAGGGATACAATAAATAATAAGTGTCAAAACAAAGCGATTATGAAAATAGATTTATATCGCGACTGAAACGATCAATATAAGATTAATATTATCATATATATGGATCAATGTCAGTAAACAAAACAATTATTACTTATCATAAAAAAGTGGCGCTACTAAAGTTTTAAGACACGCTGGTTTCCTCACTATGCTTTTCATCGCCGTATACGAGTGTTAAATGCGCACCTAGTCACAAAGTGGCAATTCCCAAATATTTATGGACTTCAGTATTTCTTGTTAACCAAGGCGCACCGCTCATATTTCGCAGTGTTTTGTTTTGTAGCCGCTGCAGGATTTCGATATTAGAGCGGCTTGCTGACCCCCAGAGCTGTATCCCATGGAACCATATTGGTTTTATTACAGTTTTGTAGATGAGAAGTTTATTGTCCAAACTCCAAACTAAGTGCGGCATTTCTACCTAATAGCCAGTTCATGCTACGAAGCCTACCAATAGCATGCGCCTTCTTGGCTTTTATATGGTCTTGCCAAGTCAAGCGTTTGTCCAGGTGCATGCCCAAATATTTAGCTGTAGTCCGTTTTGGCAAAACAGCTCCCTCCAGAGTCACCGGTGAGCACTCTTCTCTTCTTAGTGTGAACGTGACATGAACTGATTTCGCTGGGCTTGCCCGTATCCTCCACTTGTTTAACCATAATCCTATTTTGTCCAGGCATTTCTGTAGTTTTTCGGATGCTTCGTTGGGATTATTATTGCAGGAAAGGATTGCAGTGTCGTCTGCATAGGTTGCAATGACAACATCATCCGTATCTGGCATGTCGGCTGTAAAGATTGTATAAAGGAATGGACCCAGCACTGAGCCCTGAGGCACTCATGCTTCTATTTGGCAGATTGATGATTGATAATCCTCACATTTGACCCGGAACATACGGTTTTGCAGATAAGACTTCAGGAGAAGGTAGGCAGTATTTGGTAGGTTCAATTTCAGCTTACACAAGAGGCCCTTATGCCATACGCGATCAAAAGCCTGCTGTATATCGAGAAATACTGCTGAACAATAATCTTTTCTTTCTAGGGCTTGCCGTATTGTATGAGTAACACGATGTATTCGTTCCATTGTTCCATGTTGTGCACGAAAGCCAAATTGGTGGTCAGGTATTACTTCTTGTTCTTTGAGTACTGGTTGAAGGCGACTAATGACTACTCAAATACTTTTGATAGCAATGGGAGAAGACTAATAGGCCTGTATGATGAAACTTCTGTTGGAGGTTTTCCAGGTTTCGGAACCATGTTTATAATCGACACCTTCCATAGTTTTGGGAAATATTACGAGATTCTTTTTCAACATATCTATTGTGTATAGAGACTAAACGTTAGATTTCTTTTTTTTATTAAGTTAACTGCTTTAATCTGATGAGGAGTTGGTTATAAAGGAGCTTTCTTCCAAAAAACATGGGATTTAAAAGAGTGACGGAGAGGTTATTGAAAGTTTTTCGCCCGTTCTACGCCCTTGATTTTAAAACTGGCAGTAAATGTAAATTTAGAAAGATACATTTTTTTCTGACGTCATAATTGAATAAATGATATTTCGATTTGATCGTTTGGTTTTATATTTAAAAAAATAAGAATTTTAATGCAGCCTGAAAATATTGTCTTGGTGAAAGAACTAAGTTTTGGAACAACAAAACGTCGTGGGATCCGTTCTCAAGAATACCTTTTCCAAATGTTCGAGTAATCCACACCCTTATATTATGATACATAGTATACCACGTATTTTTAAATATAATCATGTATTAAATCAATTATATATATATTAAAACACACAAATGCACAAAAAAGAAGAAGAATAAAAACAATAACTAACCTTAAAATATAATAACTAAAATAATATACATTGAAAAAAAAATAACTAACCTTAACATAAACTAAAATATATTATTAAAACAAGTCCCTTTAGGCAAGGTTCCGAAGATATTGGCAGCGTTCCCCCTTTGAATCACTAGACTAATTCTTTGTCCGAGGTAGCTGCCAGATCTTCGGTCTCCTGTGATGTCGACTAACCTTTTTGATATGTCTTTAAAAAGCCTTAAAGCGCTAGGACCCCACGGACCAAGGGTCTCGACACCGAATGGGACAAAATCATATTCTGAACCTAGACCCCTGTATTTGCATGCTTTAGTTTTTTCAGCCGCTTCACAAGCCGCACCAGCTCTGTAGTTGGTTCCATCTAGATAAAACAAATATAATCTGTAAAAAATGTAAACAAATCAAATACAACAAATAGGTTATCTTACAATCTAAAGATTTCCACCATGTATAGTATATATTGAATTAAGGCGGAAATGTGTAGTTATAGTAGGGAAAATGTATCGATTAAGTGTGGTTCTCAGGTGAGTGAATAATTTTATTATTATTAGTGTTTTAAAATAGAACACAAAAACAGAGCGTCTTCTTTAATGGACACTGCAAGTACTGTTATGGGATACGCTTTTGTTAAGATCGTTATTAGTTAGAGTTCCTTATATGTATGTTAAATTATTTGTCTTTATTAATTAGTAATCATAACAATCAAATATACAGTATTTACAATTTTATTAACCTTAAGTAATAATAAAAATGATTAAAAAGAAAATTAAAATAAATTTTAAAAGTTCGGTCCCTGTGGCAGTGTTCCTTTAGCGCTGGTAGCATTTCCTTGCGATACTTATTCGTTATTTAATAATTTCAAGTAAGGGTTAGATTGTAATGTACACTATCTCAGTGAACAGACAATGTATGAAAAAAAACATCATATAATGTCATATTGATTTTTGGGACTAAGGGTGTGATTAAGAAAGGAGGTCAACTGTGACTCCCGTTTGTCTAAATGTAATACCATTACACGCTAAGCCTCATTTTTAAATTGTACCCTAATTGTAATTGTAGACAAACGTTACCTCTCAATGCTTTTCGCTACCATACTACGGAAAGCATGATTCAGTGACAGCATCATTTCTATAATAATTCGACTGGAATAAACTTAGTCATGCCCGTTGTTACTGTCAATATTTAATAGGTACGAGGAAAATCCTCATAAGAAACATTTATTTCACATGTATATTTCCCATTCGTTCGGTCATTTAAAAATTTACTAAAACTACTAACAAATTATATGTATTTTTCTTGTAGTTACTATTATATTTTTTATATCAAATAAAACAAATTTTAAAAGAGATATAATTAGTATCTATTTTTCCTAATCTATTGTATAATCTTAATATCTTCCCCGAGCTATTGAATCTGTACTCCTAAGTGTTTGATATCACTTTGCATTAACGGCGGTAATCACAAAATAACAAAACCGTTTTGAAGGTGGGCATTATATAATATAAGTATTTTAAAAGTATTTTTTTAAGTTTGTAATTAATTGGACGCCATTTCCTGTCCATTTTGATAAACTTTATTGTTAATAAAAAATATATTTATTAAGTATTTTTCATTCATTCTTTATTATTATCACAGTAAATCTATAAGTATGTAGATAAAATCGGTATTTTTTTAATAATAATAATAATGATTTATTACAAGAATATGGTACAAAAATGTGTAAGATGGTACAATCGTAAGTTCGCATATTCTGCCACACACAATGGCGCGCAAATTTGTCTTTAAAGGAATTTTACATTTTACATTATTACTCATATGGATTGGTCAGTTTTTATATTATTTGTATCGTACATATCGTATCATACGTTATTAAATTTATATCAACTACAGTTTCTCACGCAAATAATCATTTATTGAATAATACATTTTTTCCAAAAGTAATACACCAAGTCGATCTAGTCGGAAGATCTTTCAATTCTTTTGGTAAATTATTGTAAATCTTAATAGCCATACCAAAGGTGTTTTTCCTAAACAGTTCCAGATTGATTTTCGGCACAGCCTTTTTCTCCCCATGTCTACTATACGTAAGGTTAGATAATGCTTCATCGTGGCAAGTAAATATTTGTTATATTATCTCAAAACAGTGCAGTGTTAAGAAGAGCGGCTAAATTAAGAGCCTCGCACTTCACCTCGCTCCAAGTCCCCAAGCTGGGACGGCCACACTTGCATTTTCCAATCAAGCGCCTGGTTAAAGATATGATTGGAATCTCTTTGGAGTGCATGGCCTATCTATTTCCACTCACGTCGCTTGATCTGGCTCACTAACTGCGGGCTAACCCCGAATGGTTTTACTTTCGTTCTCTTCTGTCTTTCCTTCACAGCGTACAATGGTAGTGATGTTTTTTTCTAGTGGCTTAAACATGCGACTCTTAAACCATAAGGTTGTTGGTTCGATACACGCCTGTGCATCAATAGATTATTTATCAATTATCACTCTGACACAGATTATGTAAACATCGAGAATATTTGTCAGGCATAGAAGGGTCACCTACATCTTTACCTACGTCTAAAAAATTATAATAATCAAATGAGTTTATTATTTTTTTGGTAATGGTTGTGTGATTGGATTATTAATATCTCAAAATAGTGAATAACAATAAAAAAATTGTTCAATTAAATTGTGTTCAATATTCGACATACGTTGAATACTTGTTTAATATATTAAATCGTTGTTTTAATCATAAATTGGATTTTAGACAAAGTTCGTAAGTTTTTGTTCAGTAGCGATAAGACACACGATATTATGTACCTGCATGGGTTTGCGGTAGGTATCTACTGTCTACCAGGCGCCTAAAAAGATCTTAAATTTTGTAACTTTTCTAAGAGTTTGTGTACTTATAGCACATATAAACATTATCATAGAAACAAAATCACTTCTTTAATAATATTATAAATTATTATTTTTTATAATATTCCTTTCTATTTCGATGCATTAGTTCACGCTGTGATGGGAAAAGATATATGAGTAGTTAGATAAATATTTGCAATGAGACATATATTTTTAATGAATAAGGAGAGAAGTTAATAATTTCTATAAACTAAACATGATTTTTTTATTGATAAAAGCTTGTCAACGCTCGGCACACTGATACATTGGCAAAAAAAAACACAATATACAATGTTTAATGTGACAAGCACTTATACGCAAACATGACATATACGAAGAGATAATACAATAATTAAACAAAACAATTAAAACTAAACGAAAATCGATTTCAAACTGTGGGCCCCCGCAACTATGGATATCCAGACCAAAGTCGTTAATCAGAATGCTCAATCTGGAAATCGGTGAGCTTTGACCAAAACGCGTTCTTCGGAAAGGAATGTTGGAATGTTTACAAAAATATTTTAAGAAATTCCGATGACAGATTTTGGTAGCAGTATCGATTTATCATACAATTTTTATTTCTTTTCACAATTAGTTTGCTGGTAGCAGCGTGTGTTGCGGAGCAAAAATTTCCGCCAGGATTCAAATTCGGGGCTGCAACAGCGGCCTATCAGGTGGAAGGTGCTTGGAATGTTAGTGGTAAGTATATTTCAATAAAATATAATAATCTTGTGTTTTGTAGAAATACAGGCGATATTTTTGTTGGTGATATATTATCGACCTGTTTCTGTTTATTGACACATTATTCATCGTAAAAACTTGTCTAACACACAATTAGATCAAGAATATGCTGTACAAAACGCGTTTAATTTACTAACAGAATGTATTTATGGTTTATTCCATAGACAAATCACCAAGTATATGGGACACATTCACCCATGAAAATCCAGATTTTATCGCCGACAAATCGAATGGTGATGTGGCCTGTGATTCGTACCGCCTGTGGGAAACAGATATAGCCGTAGCCAAGGACATGGGCCTGCATTTTTACAGGTGAACTTTTACTTACGATATAAATTTAAAATATTGAGCAATGTTAGTCTATGAACTTAATCAAACCTATATGGCAAGGCTTTCAGATTCCCGGAGTGTATTAACTTGCGTTTCTTCGCAACGATTTTTCTAAAAGATATCTCATTAGGTGGTCCTGGTAGTTTATTTACTTTAGTGAGGTAATACAGGGTTATTGGTAATTCGACGTTTCACGTAAATACATTGTAATCTCTTAGAATCTTTACATTCTGAGGAAGTTAATATGTGTACAGTATTCGCAATACTCAAAAGCAGTATTTTTTAGATTCTCAGTATCGTGGCCCCGATTGCTACCCAACGGTTATTCCAATTATGTAAGCGAAGATGGGAAGCGATATTACAACAATTTGATAAACGGTCTTATTGAGAATGGGATTGAGCCAGTTGTCACCTTATACCATTGGGACCTACCACAAAAATTGCAAGACTTGGGTAATTATAACATCAAGTATTTCCTTTTTTTGTACTTTGGGTGAGGATCAGGTGAGGTCATACTTCCTCCATACTTTAACTCTTTTTAAAAGGGTAGATATAATAGTAATAACCTACTTAAAAAATCGGTGTTAGATTACGTTGAGGCAGAATTCGTAATTCCATCCGTATCATCTCGACGTCCGTCGTTCCACAACTGTGCGTTTTCTAAGGCAGTTTTTGCCGCGCACCACCACTATGTGGAACCAGCTGCCTACTCAAGTATTTCCGAAACAATTCGACTTTGGATCATTCAAGAAAAGAGCGTATCAATTCTTAATGGGCCGCCAACGCACTCGCGAGCCCTCTGGCATTGAGTGTCCATGTCACTGGACATCAGGTGAGCCTCCTGCCCGTTTGCCCCGTTCTATGAAAAAAAATGTGGTTAGTAACTTTTGGAGGAAAGGAACCCCGACACAATGGTGGAGGTGCGAAAACACTTGTTAGAACACAGTGAAGGACAACATCGTGAGAAAACCGAAATTTTTTGGACTAAAAAATCGATGCACCTGCGCTTGGCTTTGCCTATTATTAGAGACTATTTAAATATAAAGACATTGGCTTATTATAGAGTATGTCTCTCTCTCTTTAGGTGGTTGGACTAATCCTGAACTAGCAAGATTGTTTGAGGATTACGCGAAAGTCGCCTTCGGTCTTTTTGGAGATCGGGTCAAGACTTGGATAACCTTTAACGAGCCTGTTATCATCTGTGATGCTGCTTATGAAACTGGAAGAATGGCACCCGGCATCGTTCTACCTGGAATAGGAACTTATATATGTGCTAAGGTTGTGGTGCTGGCACACGCGAGAGCGTACAGGCTGTACGATACGAAGTTTAGAGCGCAGTACCAGGGTAAGTGAAACCTTTTTGATAGAGAATCGTGGCAAGCCTTACGCTTCAATTTATGAAAACTTAATCAATTTAATGTCAATCTTTTAACTCAAGTACTTGACTTCGCTTTCAGTTAAAGATTTAGTTTTAGTTAACACGGTCTGAGAACTTTAGTTAAACCGGCGCAATTAGGCCTTTATATTTTATGAATAAGGAGATAATTATATTTGTAAATATGACCAAATAAATCCAAGGTTCTGCAATTTCTGTGGGATTTACTTTTCTACCTATATTTTAGTAAAACTTTGGGAAATAAAATCTAATATGATATTGTATAAAAACGGACTCTTTAATCAACATTATTTTATAACAAAATGGCTGTGTAGTAAATCAGTTAGTAAGCTTATTTATTTCGTCGTTCATGTTTTATATTCACACTGCATAGCTATTGAAGTGGCGTGAAAAATTCAATGGTTACGTTCTAAGACTTTAGAAGGAAATAATAATTTTATCATTGATCTGTTTCAGGAAAGGTTGGTCTCACGGACCAACACCTCTGGTGCGAACCAAAGAACTCTGACGAGGTAGAGAATGCAGAGCTTATTCGGAACTTACTTGTAAGTACAAAATAGCTATTTATTTTTTACAGCTTAGTAGGTGAAGGAAAACTATGTTTACCGCTACGGTAATAATTCATCAACAAATAATTATGGAATTCATTATTTTAACTAGAAATAGCAGTAATAAATTATTATTTAAATTGAGTATATCAGGTCAATTTTATTATCAGATAAGTTCTAGATATGTATGTGAAGGCACTGATCACCCTCAGTATATAATCGAAAACTTTATGAAAAATTCGAATTGTTTAACGAATTAAGAGTAAAAAAGCCTTAGAAATTTGTCTTTTGGTTTTAATTTTAACGAGTAGACGACTGCCTTGCGATTCTGTAACTCACTTTTCGAACTCTCACAGCGGTTTTCGCAGCGGCGGTCGCGCTCAAATCAGTCGTGAAGCAGTCATTCTACGATTTGGCATTCTGATAAACAATAAACTACAAGCTCCCTCCTTATCATATAACCGCTGTGAGAGTTCGAAAAGTGAGTTACAGAATCGCAAGGCTGTACTATTGGCAATATGCTTATCTATCACTTTAGACGCTCTCGATTCAATACTTTATACATTCACTAACTATGTTAAGCAACCTCTTCTAAATCTGTCTTATGCCCAAACCAAAATTATGCTTCTTGTGCAAACAGTACAATTATAATAATAATTTATTGTTAGAATATGGTACAAAAATGTGTGAGGTGGTACAATCGTGAGTTTGCATATTCTGCCACACACAATGGCGCGCTACTTTGTCTTTAAAGAAATTTTACATTATAAGTCATTTGAATTAGTCAATTCTTATATTATTTGTATTGTACATATCATATCATACATTATTATTTTATATCAACTACAGTGTCTCACGCAAATAATCATTTATTGAATAATACATTTTTTCCAAAAGTAATACACCAAGTCGATTTTTAAAAACTCTAGACGGAAGATCTTTTAAGTAAGTTTTAGAAAGTACTAATGTTCTGTAATCAGTATGTCAAATGGAAGAGACTAGCTGCCCACGACACAAGGAATCCTAGTGAACTTTCTCATTTTACTTTACATCTTTTTTATTATGTGTAATTCAATTTCTCTTAATTTCTTTCTTGATACACAAAACTTGCAGGCATTATATGCTTATCCTATATACTCGAAGACTGGAGGGTGGCCTCCTAGTGTTGAGAAACTAATAGCTGAGAAAAGTGAAAAAGAAGGATACAGTCGATCCCGCTTGCCCACATTCACCCAGGAAGAAATTGAATTAATTAAAGGTAAGCAGAAATGACATACTAAGTAGGTCAAATGGAAAATCATAGTTTCGGAACCACAAGTAAGTACTAGGAGAGAAGAAGAGTAAAATAATTGCGTAAAGGCAGATATAATAAATGAAGTTATGATTAATAAATGAATGGAGGATTGATACAAGCGTGGATGGACAAAAATAATGTTTTTTTTTAATTTGTATTAACGAAAAAACAGTGCAAGAGCTATTGCTCCGTGTATATAATGCCATCAAAAACATAACTTATAAAAAAACACCAAGGCTCGCAAAAAAGTTCTGTCACCGTTCAGGTTTCCAATTTTATCCGGTACAAAGTAGAGGGTCGAAAATGGATGGTACTGGTTAAAGTGAAGCTGATGTATATGGCTGTGAACAAGAGAATATATTTACAGGTACATATGACTTTTATGGACTGAACTACTACACTTCGCGAATGGTGGAGACGGCTCAGCCAGGCCAATACCTCTACTGGCCAATGACAGGCAGCTCGGAATTCGGTTTGGCATTATCGCCTGACCCTAGCTGGACGAATGGTCATGACTGGCTGATTGTAAGTTTGATATATCAAGTAAGACATGTTTGTTTAAAAGAGCTGATTTGCTGTTTTAAAAGAGTACCGAGAGTTTTTTACGCCGGCTTTTTCTCTCGGCCTACACCCTCTGTCTTCTTTGCCGATGAGTAGGGATGCCTTCAAATTTAATGACGTGGAATAAGTGATACATATTGTATCTTATGTTCCATAATAAACATATTTTATTTTATTTATTTTTTTATTTAAAAAAACGTGTGTGTACTTATTAGTTAGAAGTTATACTTCTTTGGCGAAATAATTTTCTTCGGGCATTTTAGGGACGTTTTCCTCTTCGAAATGCATTTTTCTTGTCCATTTTAATGGTCACTTCCAACCGAAACGATATAATAAGCACTAATCATGATATTTTACAATAAACAATATGTTTTTTATCACGGGTTTTCTCGAATAGAAATCATTATTTTGGTTTAAATAAACACGACTCGACACGACGTTTGAACAGATATTCAGGGTGTCGGTTTTTTGTGACGGTTTTACTCTCATCATTTTTCCCTAACATCTTCGTAACAATATTATGATGACGCCGGACATGGTCACTTAAAATGCCATAGTCACTTTTAATTCACTTATCTAAGTACGACAGAAAGGACATACACATTCATACTTATAATTTTACTTTAAAATTGTTATTATTTAAGTATATTTATTTTGTGACTGTTGTCATTACCTTTCAAAAACACATCGATTATGGGTTATTGAAGATAACGGCATCAAATGTCGAGGTTTAGAAGGGTTTTGGGAAGAAATGTCGCCGCTTTAATACCGCCATTTTACGTATATACCCGATGAAGTATGATTCTTTAATCATGCTGCTTTCTGTAGTACTAACAGAACTTTGTATCTACAATGTTAATTTCCTATTGCAGAGCTTCCCTCCAGGTATTCGTCGTCAGTTGCATTGGCTGAAGCAGCAATTCGGTGATATTGAATTCAAGATTCTGGAGAATGGGTACTCCACAGCCGAACCCGTTATGTTTGATGAGGAAAGAGTAAACTACTACAAGGACCATTTGGAACAGGTAAGTTCTTGTGGTAAAAAACTCATTTCTTGCAACTTCTCTGTAATGGGCAGGTTTTGGTAAAATTGGAAAAAAAACAATTTGCCCAGTTCTAACGATTTAATAAAAAGATGATTTGTTAAACCTTTAAACGTTTTTCAATTGTTCTTGTATGTATTTGCTCTAAGTGTTGCACCATTTTCATTGCTAACAATAAATAAAGAAAATAAAAATAATAATTTAGAATTTATTCGGTCCCTAAATTTTTTATATTTTTAGACAAAATTGTTTGGTTTTATTTTTTTTATCATACAGCATAAAAAAATACATACACTTAATTTTCACCCCTCTACGATCAATCCCTATTTTTGATTATAGTAGATAGTAATTTTTATTGAACTAAAAATTTATTCCAAGAAATAATAAACATGATTGCAAGAAGATTTTTTTTTGCTAAAAAAAATATGTTAATTTTTGTTATTATTTTTTTATTTTTTTTTTATTTATATAATGCTACAAATGTAATTATTTTTTTTTGTATCTCACACACTGTTTTGTTGTGTTTTTTTAATATTTTTATTACTCTTTAATGTTAATATTCTAAGGTTTCGATATTTGTAAATATGTGAGGAACATGTATAGTACTAACTTTTTTAGTATAGTAGTTTATTCTAAGAGTACATTGCCTTCACATATAATTATTTAACAAATGTAACAAAATATTGTAAACCTATTTTAAAAGAGTAAGTGTGGAGTTTCTTGCCCATTCTTCTCCACACGAAACTACCTTTTGGAAGGGGCAACTAGAATCATCTTTATATTTTTTTTTTTTTGACGTTCAAAAGTGCCATTTCAGATGGTCTAATTGAAATAAACGATTTGACTTTAAAGAAGTAATAAATTGAAACTCATGAAGGAATATTAAAAATTCTCTCATTTATATAGGTTCATTCAAATTCCTTTCTTCTTTTTTGACGTTCATAAGTGTATATTGTGTTATCTATGAATAAATGATTTTGACTTTTGACTTTCAAGCGGCGGTTGAACAGGCATCTCCTGGACAGAAGTACTCTTCAATTCGGCACATCTCACTTAATATCGAGGGGAATTCTGGCCAAACGTCTGCCCAGTTCTGTATAAAAAAATTGGTTGTCTGTAAAGTCGGTTTACTGACGATAGTTGAACGAGACAACGTCATAAGAAAATACTGATGGAATGGTTGCATTTTTCAAAAGAAAATTTTAATTTTATTTGTTTGACAGATATTTTGTATGGATATTGAGAAGGAGGTAAATGGAAATCACAATTGAATTGAAGTTACATTTAATTTTGTACGCATAAATAGAATTATGTCAATTTTTTAACGAACGAACGCTGTCGAACGCGGAGGCCGATTGTGCCTCTTTGTCGCTCGTTCCGCGCTCTCGCTTGCACTTCAAGCCTTAAATGGAACGCCTCAGAGATAACGCCGCATGATCATGTTTTTTCGTGCAGCCGGCTCCATCGAATTATAAGACGTTTGCACGTCAAAAATCCGCCGTATATTTTTTCTCATGTATACTTTTTTACCTGCGGAGAATGCGAACGTATTACCTCAACATGAAATTACAGAAACTTTATAAATTAGCTTGACTACTTTTTATGTTTTTAGGTGCTTCTTGCTATAAACGAGGATAAGGTCAACGTTACGGCCTACACTGCGTGGTCCCTTATTGACAACTTTGAGTGGATTAATGGATACACGTAAGAAAGTTGAACTATTTCTTTTTACGCGATTACTTCACATTAAATAATAATATTTTTAGACTTTATTGATGCAATTTAGTTTCTAGTGCTTTTTAGCAATCAGGAAAAGTATTTTGTTTAAATTAAATTTAGATTCCAAATAGCTTTTAAATGTGTCCTTATTACATATCTTAATATGTAAAATTCTCGTGTCACAATGTTCGTTCCCATACTTCTCAGAAACGGCTCCTCGAGCCCTAAGTGATAAGGGGTCACTTATTAAGGATAAATATTTTGTTTTTTAAGTGGCATTAAAAATACATACAACCCTAAATTTTCACCCCTATCAACCCCTTTTTCATTTGTTAATTAAAAACTTATGACTTGAACTCTGAGGTTGTATGTAGATAAAAATTCTTAGAAAAACCTAAAAAGTTTTAAAAAGGCAGGCTAAGTAAAATCACATTAAGGAGAAACGAAGTTGGCGGGGTAGTAATTTTATAAATATAAGAGATCCTTAAAAACGCACATCATTAATTTAATTTATCTATGAAATGTCGTCTCCAATTTGAATCTTTTTCAACTAACTCCTTTGTACAAAGTGTATTTACATTGTATATAGAGGTGAATCAGGGCTTTAGAACTCTGAAATAAATCTATTCCTACTATACGAGTACGCTGCTAATTTTTAACTGTATTTCAGGTCGAGATTCGGCTTAGTGAACATTGATTTTAACGATCCGGATCGCAAGCGGACCCCAAGAGCCTCCGCCCACTATTACGCGGCTGTGATAAAGAGTCACTCACTTGACCTTCCTCATCATTCGCGTGGATTTTTGAAAATTCTGTTTGACAAAATTATCACGTGACCTGAAATGGGACATTGGTCATATACCAACTACTACTTCTAACTACTGACTTGTAATTCTTTTGTCTCTGTACTAAGCTGAAATTGATGATAAATGATTTTACTTAATTAAATTATATCAATTGTTATAAAATAAATAATTCTAAATTGTTTTATCGTTTTAATAACATAAAATCCATTGTCTCTGTTTAACCTATGCTTATAATGCATATTGATTGCTTTTTATGAACTATTGAAATATTCATACGAAAATTATATACGCAACATATGTAAATAATAGTTGCCTTGAAAGTGGTGTTTATGATGGATGAAAGAAAACTGCAAATGTTTATTACAAATAAAAGCAATCAAATTATTTATTATGTGATATTATAAGTATCTCAAAAATTATAATCTAAGAACTCCCTCACATATAGAATACCTTTAAAAATCTCACCATTTTCCCTTTGAAAGAATAACATGGTAGTGTTCTGTAACGTCTGGATGGCGTAGCTTTTTTTTTAATTAAGCTTGATTCTGGGACCCAAGCCCTGCTGCTCAAATAAACGCAAACATAACATTAAAAAAAATTATAATAGGTTTTTAAGACACAGTCGTGCAAGTAGATTGCCTCCCAGGTGAAGAAAATATTTTCCGTTTTTCCGTTAGTTGTAAAAATAATTGTACACATATAAGGAAAGTTGCATACAAATATTCGAATTCTATCAATGAAACTCAACAACCAGGATATACTGCTGCTAAACATGATATTCTTTAAAGTATTAAATTATAAAAAAACAATTGAAAATAAATTATAACTCCATTGTTTATGTTAAAAAATTACAACATAAATATAGGGTGTTCTCAGAGTTCGACTGGGGCTTACTGGCACATGACGTCACCTTCAGGGTTTAAGGCATGCTGGTTTCCTCACGATGTCTTCTATCACCGTAAGCGAGGGTTAAATGCGCACATAGTCACAAAGTACTTTAATCTCTAGTTAATACGGCTCGTACGGAGATGAAAGGAGGGTTCAACACAAAATCTAGATAGTCGGTACACTTTATACAATACGCATAGAGACGCAATGTTTTAGCGTAGAGGGAGAGAAACAAGCCGATTAGTAAAACATTGGATATTGACGCCTTTTAAATAAAATAATTGTAATGAAAACTCAATCTAAACCCGTGCAGAGTTATGGTTGATTTACTCGTTGATTGTCCGTCTTTCGAAAGCGCCAGGAGCTATCTGGAGCTCGCACTCTGGGATGGGCTATCCGTCATGTTGCTCGAGCACAGCTCGCAGCTGGAAAAATTCTACAATAGAATTGTCAAATATAATAATATCATGAAGATATTCCCGGAGTAGTAGTTATCATCGGTACGGAATAAGTTTAAGGAATTTAATATTATGACACTATCAGGTCAATTTATTATTGAAGACTTGTTGTATATACAAAATATAAACGATTTTAAGACAAATGGTGACTTTCACCAGTATAATACTCGAAACAGAACTAATTTGAGTCTACCAGGCTCCAGAAGATAAACCACTCCTTACATGGAAATTGTATTCGTTTTTACTACAAACTCGAAATCAAAGAATTGTCACTAAATAAATTCAAAGCCCTCCTTAAACGTAAATTAATCAATAAAGCTTTTTTATAAATATGACGAATATTTAAATGATCCTAATCCTTGGGATTGATTTGCTTCAGTTTAAAGAATTTGTATAACTCAAAACTTAGCGAGTAAAATAAATATAGTTAAAAAAAACTAAAAAACACGCTTTTAAAGCTTTTGTAAAAGCGTGGGGCGCTCTGTGCCATATTTTTCGTCTATCGAGCAACCCACGCTTTTTCACAATAATACCAGTATTTTTTGTTCATTACTATTTTCAGCCTAAATTAGGAATTATTTTTCACTTTTTAGTTTGATGTGCTTTAAAGGGTGTTTTTTAGTTTTTTTAAACGATATTTATTTTCCACTTTTTAGTCCTAGCAGCAATACGTGTTGTCTCAATTTAACCGTATTGCTTTGTGGACTTAAAAAATTTCATTGTTTTTTCGAGATAAACCTATGAAATTATTATATTGTCGCTGATTGATACGTGTACAAAGTTTGAATTAAATCTGTCCGTTTAAAGTGGGTCAAAATCGAGTCCGAAGGAGTCGGTTACATACATACATATATACAGGTGAAGCATTAGCTTCACCTGTAAGCTTATATTAATTAAGCGTGTAAAAAGAGTGGCGGAAAGTTTCTTGCCAGTTCTTGCCCTTGGCTTGCAAACTGGTAGTAAATGTATATTTACAATTAATGTAACTTCTTTTCCGACGTTCATAAGTGTACTTGTTTACCTATATGAATAAAGTTATTTTGGGTTTGAGTTCATTGCCAGTTCTTTTTCTGGTCTACGGCCGTGATTTGAGAACAGGCAGTTACCTATTGTAAATTTAGAAGCAATTTTTTTTACTGACGTCATAAGTGTACATTGTGTTTCACCTTTTCTTAAAACACAAAATAAAAATGAACACCATGTATAGTATTGACTTTTTTAATAAAAATGAGTAAAGGCGGAAATGTGTAGTAATAGTAAGGAAAATGTATCGATTAAGTGTGGTTCTCAGGTGAGTTTATAATTTTATTATCATTAGTTGGGGACTGTAAGTTGTGTTAATAGACACTTTTATGTTGAGGATCCTTATTAGTTAGAGATTCTTGCGTGTTGTTCCCACGAGAATGTAAGTGCGTGCTCCTATTTCACCATGCCTCGTGGTGATAGAGGACACATCTTTGATTTTAATTTATTTTATTATTATTTATTACTCACGATGTCATGTGAAACATGGTGTAATGGTTGCAGCTCCTTACAAACGTTGTGTAAAACAAAAAACTTGGAGATTAAAAAGAGTGGTGGAGAGTTTATTGCCAGTTCCGTTCCGTTCTACGTCCTTGATTTGAGAACTGGCAGTAAATTTAAAATTAGAAGCATTAAATGTATATTTCTTTTTTGATGTTCATAAGTGTACGTTGTGTTACCTATATGAATAAATGATTTTTGACTTAAAGGTTCAATTTCTAATTCGTTTCAAGTTAGCCTAGATTTTAATGTCTACTGATGACCCCGTCAACCCCAATAACACATTTCTAAGGCTGTTTCATAGATATTTTATAGCCAGCCTTCAGATTTTTGAGAAGAGAGAAAAGAAGAAAGATGGTGGACTGTGACTTCTGTATGTCAAAAATCAAAATTAAAATAGATTTATTCAGTTTAGATGCGTCTTAGCGCATGCTTATGAATGTCAAAAACGTTTACAAAATTCGCGAAAGAGCAAGACTACGCCATCCGTTCGCAAAACTACCAGGAGGCTTTGTTCTGAGAAGAACGGGCAAGAAATTCAGCAAGTTTTACCCTCCCTCTACATTACAATTATTCAAAGGAAAATGTCATAAACCACAATGTCATTAAAGTTACATAAGTAAAAAAAAATATCTGTTCTGTGATTTACCACATTCACCATTACACACAATATATTCACAACACTTAGACACTTAACAAAAGATAAGAAAACAAATTATAACAATATAACCAGAACAGCTATTGCCACGCGTTTTTGTCTTTACACATTAGTAACCTGTCAAAATCAAAGACCTTCATACTTTTCTAGTCTAGCTCGTTTCTGAATCTTACCCAAAGACAAGCGTTAAATCTTAATGTTTTCTTTTCTTTCGCTACCATGGGCAAATGGAAAACACGATACATTGACAGCAGATATTTTTCTATATTATTTCAACTAAAATAAACGATATGCTTGTTGTAACTTTCAATATTTTATAGATGAAATGTTTTTTTTCATAAGAAACATTATTAAGAAACATTTATTTTTAATGTTTCTAATAAACATTATTAATTAACGTTTAAGCTTTTAATGGTGATAACTGAAGTCGCCACTTTCTGTCAAATTTATTGTACACTTGTACAAAAACCAAAGCTTTTATTTACTGTACTATGTGCTTATTTATTCATTTTAATTTTATTTACTACTAGCAATGCCCTGTAGTTTCACACGTAGATACCGATCACGTTGGTGGAAAGTCTACTAAGTCGAACTAAAGATATATTTTTGTTAACATAAAAGTTAAATTTTACTGAGCTTAAATTCATTCGTTTCAAATTATTAGATACACAGTTGCATTTTTATAAGGCATCCCTATTTATTTATTTTAATAATGGTGGTGGCTTTCTAATGGTGAAAGAATTTTTGGAATCGGTCCAGTAGTTTTTGTGTGAAAACATACATACAAAAACACAAATGTTTTTCTCTTTATAATATTAGCATAGATTATATTTTTTAATATCAAATGAGACAAATCTTATATCTCTCTTATAGTATCTACTATTGCATTGGCCGTGGTAGTCACAAAATTAGCAAAACCATTTTGCAGGGTGAAATTGTTATATTTAATCTTATTTTAAAGTTATTTTCTCGCGATATCCTTATTTTATTAATGAATTCGCATTTTATGTTTCTTAATAGATTGGACGCCATTTCCTGTTTATTATCACATAGCTGACTTTATTGTTAATATAAAAGTATATTTATTAATTGTCATTTAGTATTTACAGTGAATACTATAAGTATGTAGATTAAATCGGTATTACGTAACGTGGCAACTTAATAATAAATATATTACTAATAAAATGATATTAAAAAAGTATTTCCTTACATTGTCTCAAAAGTCAATGTATCGCCTCCATTGATATTCGGTTTGTACTGTCTAACAGGCGTCTAAATAGATCTTTAATATTGTTACATCTTTAAGCGTTTGTGAACTTATAGAAAAACGTATTTGAATATGGTAGAAAAATAATAAACATTATAATAGAAACTAAATCAGATCAAAATCACTTTCTTTTTCGATGCATTTGTTAACGCAGTGATGGAAAGAGGTAATTATTTTAATTAAACGTGTTGGAATGTTTACCGAAATATGTTAACAAATTCCGATAAGAGATTCCGTTGGCGGTTAACGTATAGCACCCCCGGATAGTAAATTTTAATTTAACCCAATTTTGTTTTCAAAGTTTGCTGGTGGCAGCATGTGTGGGGCGAAAATTTCCGCCAGGATTCAAATTCGGGGCAGCAACCGCGTCCTATCAGGTAGAAGGTGCCTGGAATGTTAGCGGTTAGTTCTACTTTTCAATAAAACATAATAATTTTGTGTTTTGTAAAACAAAGGAGAACATTTATGTTGGTGATATATTTTCGATGTTTCTATTTATTGGCACATTATTCATCGTCAAAACTTGTCTAACACACAATAAGATCAAGAAAATGCCGTACAAACTAACATTCACTAACATAATGTATTTATGGTTTATTCCACAGACAAATCACCAAGTATATGGGACACATTTACCCATGACAATCCAGATTTAATCGCCGACAAATCGAATGGTGATGTGGCCTGTGACTCGTACCGCCTGTGGGAAACAGATATAGGCTTAGCCAAGGACCTGGGTCTGGATTTTTACAGGTAAGAAAAAATAATTACGAAATATTATACAATAGATAATAAATAAAAAATACATAATATTTTTTTTTAATAATGTTTATTATCCTTCACCGTTAAATACTAACTTGATTAATACTTCCATTTAATATTATGCGAATTTATAAATTGTAAAGAAAATTTTCTGTCATAATTCTTTATTATTTATATATTATATGCATAGATAAAAGTCATTGTTTTAGTCATGAAAATTCTTCCACAACTGAGCGATTTTTAAGGCTGTAGTATTTACGAACCAATTTGACTTAGGGTCTTCCAAGAAAAGAGCGTACCAATTCTTAAAAGGCCGGCAACGCACTCGAGAGCCCTCTGGCATTGAGAGAGTCTATTGGCGGCAGTATCACTTAACATCAGATGAGCCTCCTGCCGTGTTTTATAAAAATCAAGTTATGCCAATATATACGCGTAAATTACTTACATATTTTACAACACTTACATATGTTTATGTATTTATTGATTAATTTCTTAAGTAGCATGCAAGCAAGCACAGCATGCACTATATGAAAATTAAAAGCATTTGATACTGTCTCCATCCCACATCTATTATCTAAACTAGAAATACTTGGCATTCGTGGTTTACCTTTAAAACTGCTAACAAACTATCTTAGTAATAGAAAACACAGAGTCAAGGTCGAAAACCATGTTAGTGATGAGTATGAGGTTAAGTTTGGCGTACCTCAAGGCAGCATCCTCGGTCCTACCCTATTTTTAATCTACATAAATGGCCTCTGCCAGCTTAACTTACAGCAGGGCAAAATCTTCACCTTTTTGGCTGACGATACCGCGCTTTTCTTCAGTGGAGACAACTGGAATGAGGTATTTCGTCTAGCTCAGATTGGCTTTCAAACAGTATCCAAATGGCTTCATCACAATATCTTAACGCTAAATGTATCTAAAACTAAATTTATGATTTTTGCCAGGAGATCAAATCAACTTCCACCTCCTTCGCTGGCTTTATACGCTCATGTACCAAACTGTAACTGCAATATCTCCCAGATCATTTGTCCTAACCTTCAAAGGACTGACCACTTCAAATACCTTGGTGTTGTCATCGATCAAAAATTTAATTTTAGCAGGCATGTCGAATCCCTGGTATCAAAATTACGTAAACTTATTTTTGTCTTCAAGAATCTCAAGCACATCGCTGATCGCAGCGTCCTTAAGATGGTATTCTATGCCTTATGTCATTCTTTGGTTGTGTATTGTATACCCTCGTGGGGAGGTGCTGCCAAAACATACCTCATTGAGGTCGAGATAGCTCATCGTGCTATCTTGAAAGTAGGTGCAGGACTCCCCTTTCGCTTTTTCCCACAGCTGACTTATATAAGGATTGGGATGTATTATCCGTTAGACAAACTTTCATCCTGTACACTATTCTTACAAAGCATTCTGAGATAGAATACGATCATAAACTTGTAGATGGAAGGCGTAGAAAGGATTCCGTATGCAGTCCTCAACTTTTCAAAACAGCTCTTTCCCATAGTTCGTATTGCTTTCTAGGTACCCATTTATATAATAAACTTAACAAAGACCTTCAAATTTATCATCTCACAAAATACAATTGTAAAAAAGTAGTAACTAAATATCTCAAATCGCTAGATTACCAAAGCACAGAAAATCTATTACGACCCCTAATTTAATTTAATAAATGGAACGTTTTTCTCGCCCACACTAGTCTCAATTTAGCTCACTCGCACACACACACGCACTCACACTGACCCGTACACTCACACACACACACACACTCACAAATGCTTTAACTTTTTTCTATCTATTTTTTTTTTTTTTTATATATATTTTTTATATATTTTTATAAATTATTTATTGTTCGTTCGTTTTTAAAACTTGTATTAGCAATACTTTTTGCCACTATGTTCAAGAGGGACTGGTGACTTGTAATAACAGGTTTTCCCAACCTTTTTTCAAGCACCAGTCTCTTAGTATAATACATAGCTTTATGCTTATTGTCAAGTTTATTATTAATTATTATTAAAGTTTATTATTAAGTTTAAGTATTAAGTTTAAACCTACTTCAAATATCTGGCAACTGAAAAGTAAAAATATATGTATAATATTGAGAAATATTCAATAATTTACCGCTTCGATAACGTAATTATTAATTTTGTAACCTCTTTAAGCGTTTGTGCACCGCTTCGGCTTTTATTATTGTATTATATTAATTTTTATTAATACTATTATAAACTTTTATAGAACGTGCAATGGCTACAGTGTTTCACGTAAATAAATTGTGATCTCCTAGAATAATTACTCGTTACATTCTGAGGACATTATGTGTACACTATTCTCAAAAGCCAGTATTTTTTAGATTCTCAATATCGTGGCCCCGATTACTACCCAACGGCCATTCCAATTACGTAAGCGAAGATGGGAAGCGATATTACAACAATTTGATAAACGGTCTTATTGAGAATGGAATTGAACCAGTGGTCACCTTATACCATTGGGACCTACCACAAAAACTGCAAGAATTTGGTAATTATAACATCAAGTATTTGTACCTTTGGTGAGGATCAGGTGAGGACCTGAACAAAATATCATTTATACTCATAATTCCTCCATACTTTACCTCTTTATAAAACTATAGATATAATAATAATTACCCACTTAAAAGACAGCTGTTAGATTAGTGGTTAATATGCGGTTGTCGGCCGAGGTCTTACGTTCAAAGGAACCCCGACACAAATGGAGGTGCGAAAACACTTGCTCCTACAATGAAAGAAAACATCGTTTATTAGACTAAAAAAATCTGTACCCGCACTTGGCTACCTTTGCCTTTAATTGGAAATAATTGGGATATAAATACAATTAATTATAGGTCAGTAAAGTGTCTCTCTTTCTCTTCAGGTGGTTGGACAAATCCTGATCTAGCAAGTTCATTTGAGGAATACGCGGATGTCGCCTTCGGTCTTTTTGGAGATCGGGTCAAGACCTGGTTAACTTTTAACGAGCCGGTTAGCTTCTGTGAAATATCGTATGAAGCTGGAAAAACTGCACCCGGCGTCGCTTTACCTGGAATAGGAAATTATATATGTGCTAAGGTTGTGATGCTGGCTCATGCGAGAGCTTACAGGCTATACGATACAAAGTTCAGGGCAAAGTATCGGGGTGAGTGAAACAGTTACCTGACTTTCCTTTTTGATAGGGAATCCTGGAAAGGTAGCCCCCCCTTTGAAAATTGTATTTAGTTAACACGGTCTGCGAACTTCAGTTAAAGCGGCGCAATAAGGCGCTTAAGGTTTGATCAAAGAGCGGACGGGGCGGGACGGTGACGCGACGTGAGCAGTTGTGTAATTTACAAATTATCTAGCTGCCCCCGCGAACTTCTTTTCTCCTTAACGCCTAGCCTACCTTTTTAGGACATACCAACATAGAACATTTTGCTATGCTACCCCAGAGACTGTTCGGTTTTCCGGAATGAAAAATGAAAATGTCTTTTTAGGTTTTTTGTTGTTTTTCTCTCTATAAACCTCATAGTAATAAGTTCTTAACTAACAAATAAATATGGGGGTTGATCGTAGAGGGTAGATCAAAATTAAGGACTGTACCTATGTATTTCTTATCTCATAAAAAATAAAAACAAAAAAAAATCTAAAAAAATAAAAAAAGGATTGTGTGGTTTTATGAACCCACGGTAAAAGTGAAACTTTTTTTCACATTATAAACATTTAACTAAAAAATTTTGGAATAATATTCCATTAAGGGTATAAAAATCGCTTTACAATCTTAATTTTATACTTGGTAGATTTGAATGATAATGGAAAATAATAAAAGTAGACCCCTTATTACTTAGGGATTATAAGATAGATAGTAGCCGATTCTCAGACTTACTGAATCTTCCGGAGGAGTATGGGAACGAACATTGTGACACGACAATTTTAAATATATACAGATGTCACACAGAGTCGTCGCCAGTGGATTTACCAGCAGGCTACGGCCTGATCTGATTTTTGATTCTGATTTGAAAAGATTTTTAGGGCGGCAAGTTTGGGAAGCGATTTTTTTTGCTACCTCATAGAAATCAAACAGATTTTGACGTTTTCTGGTGTTTTACAGATACGAGTAGAAGTCTGCAACAAATTTTTCTGTTGACTTTCACCTCTCACTTGTCATTGTATATTTGGTGTAGCAAAAGTTCCATATTCTAGAGTCAAACAGCTAGTTCGCCGACCCCCAACTAGTAATCCGACTCTGCGCCATCAGCTCACACTTTGTATAAGTGAAAAGAGCGAAACTACTGAAAATGTATTTACCCCTTTCCATGTTTATAAAAACATAAGCGAATGAATGCAAGGTTTAAATAACTCAATTTTTGTGGGGTTTAGTTTTCTATCTATATTTTAGTAAAACTTTGGCAAATAAAATCAAATATGAAACTTATAAAAAGTTTTAAATAATAGCTTAATCATTTATTTGTTTCAGGAAAGGTTGGTCTCACGAACCAACACCTCTGGTTTGAACCAAAGAACTCTGGCGAAGAAGAGAACGCAGAGCTTATGCGGAATCTAATGGTAAGTATAAATAAAGGTATTCATTTTGTACAGCCTAATTGGTAATGTTTTCCACGAAATCTTGGAGATATTATCGAATACATTATTGTATATAGAAAATGCAGTAATAAATTAATTAGGTATATCAGGTCAATTTTACTATCATAATCATAATATTCATCAATGTCAAATGGAAGAGACTGCCCACAATATATTGTGGGGGCTATTGCACTTCTCATTTTCCTTTACATCTTTTTTATTATGTGTAATACAGTTTTTTTAATTTATTTTTTGTTTGACATTTTAAAATGATACAGATTTTGTTGCTTTGGTTACCTTTTTATTACATTGTGTTAAATAAAGTGTAGTATTAGTGTATTTATTCAATGAATAATTGGATTCTGCATGGCCCAATGTTTCTTTAGAAACATTCTAATTCGGTCTTTTGATGTATAAAACTTTCAGGCATTATACTCTTATCCTATTTACTCGAAGACTGGTGGGTGGCCTCCTAGTGTTGAGAAAAGAATCGCTGAGATAAGTGCAAAACAAGGATACAGTCGATCCCGCTTGCCCGAATTCACACCGGAAGAAATTGAATTTATTAAAGGTAAGAATGAAATACTACGTAGGTCAGTTGTATCTGGTGTCATCAACACGATTAGACTAGGATTTGATAAAAACAAAATACGTCAGTATACAAAAAATACACATATATTGTGTGTGTTCTTTGATAAAAATTCATAGTTCCGTGACCACAAGTACTAGGAGAGAAAAAGAGTAAAAGAATATTGACGTAATGATACAAGCGTGGATGGAAAAAATTTTGTTATAAACGAACTAATTTTAAAACCAACGTATAGATAGTGCAATCCACGAAGACGCGCCCCACTATTCCTCCTAACCGTTTATAGTATTTGTGTGCAAGCTTCCCTCAATGTTTGAGTATTATCGGTACACACGCACACTACAATGAATAGACTAATCATGAGAGAGTGTCATGGAAAGGGTTATGTTTTTTTTAGGTGTGGATATTTTAATATACGATAATATTACCATTTTTATACTGGGGGTAATTATAGATATAAATTAAATACGTGAAAAAGTTTTACTGATCTTTATTGAGAAATGAAAATCGTCAATCACTCGTTTCAGAAATATGTGATTCAGAGGCTGATGTATCACCGACTTTTACATACCTGGCTTTTGACATTAAAAAAAATATAAAGTAGAGCAACTTTCGTGACGACTTTGGAATCCCCGTACCCCGCGATCCCCTCAACCAATAATTGGTGGGGCGCGTCTTCGTGAATTGCTCTATCTATAACTGATGTGTTTGGCTGTAATTCACCAATAAGAGAATATTATTTCAGGTACATATGACTTTTATGGTCTCAACTACTACACCTCGCGATTGGTTGAGACTGCTAAGCCAGGCGAAAAGCTCACCTGGTTTCCACTGTCGGGCAGCTCGGAATTCGGTTTGGCATTAACAGCTGATCCTAGCTGGAAGGCTGGTCTTGCGTGGCTGGTTGTAAGTTTGATACATAAGATATGTTTTTAATAAAAAGTGCGTGCGCACAAAGCACACATAACATGTCATAAGTGAAACTTCTTTGGCAAACTAATTTTTAAGTCTTGCTCATATTTATACAAATCTAAAACTATAGATTACCGAGACTTAGGAGGAAGATATGATAGGAATTTAATGAATTTAATTGTCATTAAAATATTAAGTGTCGAAAATTTAAACAAATTATATATTTTTTTAAATTTATTTCTTTGATAATAAAAACACGTGGCATTTTAATTTACAATTTGTTTCATTCGTCGTGTCAATTCGGGATTTCAATAAATTATTTTCATAAAATATAAACTACAAATATTTCAATTTTAAAAATATAATTTCTATAATTCGCCCTTCTCACTCTCTCTCAATCGGTCTCAATTGCTCTCTCCCTTTTCGAAGCGTTTCATCCGTAAATTTTTTACCCTCAGGCGCCTAAAGAAGTTTCACTTCAAAAACTATAAATTTAAATCTTGAGTTCGGTGGCGGTTGTTGTATGGATATATTATGTTAAATGAAATACATTGTTTGAAGCTGGGTAACAAGTGACTTTAATGGTTTAAAATATGAGCTTATAACTAACATAAAATTAGGGGCAGTGGGGTTGCGACGATAAAAAATACTATCTAAGGGTTCATAAATCTAAGTTACACTTCAATACAAGTGTCGACATATTCGACCTATTAATGTTTAGAAAATAAAAAAAGGCTTAATGTAGAAAGTTGCCAATACTTTTATTGTTTTTCGAAGTAATCTCCGTTCCTCTCTACACATCGTCGCATTCGATGGAACCACTGAGAAAAGCAGTGGGCCCATTCCTCCTTAGGGGTCTCTTCTATGGCATTTTCGTACGCTTTCACCGCATCTTCAGGACTCGTAAAGCGAATACCTCGAATTTTATCTTTAGTTTTGGGTTCGTAGCAATATATCCAGCTTTAATCACCTGTGACGATGTCAAATACAGCATTTGAGTCACCGCCGTTGAACTTATCTAACATTTGGCGACACCAGTCCATGCGAAGGTGTTTCTGGTCGTCGGTTAAAGCATGGGGAATCCATCTGGTACACAGCGTCCTGACGCCTAAATGTTCGTGTAATATTTTTTGAAATTGACTCATACCAATGTCTAGGCTTGCCCGTATCTGCTGATAGGCACTCACTCTCTTATCTTCCTCTATCATGCGTCGCACAGCACTGATGTTACCTCCAGTAGTCGGTGTTAAAGGGCTCATTTTGGATTAACTACATACATATCTCCCGACAGTAATATTTTTTTTAAATTTTTAATAATATTGGGACTCGTCTATCCTTTCCTGCTCGATATGATGTGGAAGTGTGCATTACGATTACGATACGATTTCACGCAGTCGCGTCCAGATGTCGTCACATTTAACGTATTAACGCCTTTAGTACACCTACGCGTTCGTATGCGGGTGCGAGTCTTTGCAAAATAATTGCGGTAGCGAAATATCTGCGGAACGTTAGTACACTGCAGTTTTTTCGCAAGGAAATGTCATTGTAGCTTTATTTCTTACCATCTATCCCCGTCTTTTCTTGAATTTTCCTCCATGCCACCTCTTTTTTGTATGCATTTTTGTAATTAACATGCCCAACTAAATATAATTCGGGATAATTTCGAATCAAATTTAATAATAATTCAATATTTTCGGCTTCCATTGTGCGAAATTCTGTCCTCACTGACAGAACGCGTGGTGACGCATTGCGATGCGAAACTCCGCTAGCGAAACGGCTGCGTCTGTGTAACAGCCATTTCGCAGTTACTTGCGAAACAATACCGACAAGGACGCAACTATTTCATCTAGCTATATAATAGAGCGAGACAAAACACATGCGAAACGTTGCCATACAACTTACAGTTTTTTCGTCGTTTCGCTGCCGCATGCGATTGCGTAGGTGTACTAAAGGCGTAAAGGCGTTTTCGCAGTCGACAAAAGTTACGTAAGGTGTTTATATCGGTGCATGATTTATTGGGGCAAAATTCAGCTTGCTCATTTCATGTTTCATGAAAAACAACAGTACAATGGTAGAGTGTAGTGACAATAATAATGTGAACTTGACTCAAACAATTTAATTTTAAAATAAATATTTTTATGTCATATGTTTCATCTTTTTTATTTCTGCCAAATAATGACTCTATCGTACGAATGGCTTAAGCATTAGCCAGCCAGTTTCTTAAATTTTGTAACAAACGCTACGGCTGAACATCTTTCAGGCCGCTAGTTAAACGGCTAGGCTGTTAGTTGAACGGCTAATTAAGCTAAATAGCTACGACATGTACACCTTTCTCAAACACATCGATATAAATTGCGTTATTTATGAATAACGGCAATAAATGTCGATGTTTGGGAGTTTAGGTTTATTCAAGTAGAATTGTCGCCGCTTTAATACCTGAAGTATGAAGTATCATTGGACCTAGAGGTTGGATTGTTTCAACCACTGCATGCTTAAGTAGAACGTAATCATTTTTTTTAATTTTGATTGCAGAGCTACCCTCCAGGTTTTCGCCGTCTGTTGCTTTGGCTGAAGCAGCAGTTCGGTGATATCGAATTCAAGATTATGGAGAATGGGTACGCAACATCCGAACCCGTTATGTATGATGAGGAAAGAGTAAACTACTACAGGGACCATCTGGAACAGGTAATTTTTTGTAGCACCCTCATTTCTTGCAACTTTTTAGTAATGGACTGGTATGGGTACAGTTAAATAAGTGTTTTGATATGCATACCAAGTCTATACCTGCGTAAGAGTAATAATGCGTCAAATCTATCTATCGAAATTACCTCTTATCCTCTTATCCTCTTACCTCGTATGTCCAGAGAACCAAACATTTCAGGAAAAGAGAAAAATGTTTAATTTCGTCAATGTTCGTAAATATATTTATGTGTTTTGCCATAGTTTTAAATACTTCATGATTATACCGGTTAAATGACATAAAAGTCTAAGAATAAAAATAAATAGTTTTTTGACATACGAGGTTTTTTTTATATTATGGCAAGACAAACGAGTTTTTTTTTTATATTATGGCAAGACAAACGAGTTTTTTTTTAATTTTTTATATTATGGCAAGACAAACGAGGTTTTTTTTTATTTTTTATATTATGGCAAGACATACGAGGTTATCATTCTAAAGTGACCTTATATACTTTAAGGTGCTGCTTGCTATAAACGAGGATAAAGTCTTTGTAACGGCCTACACTGCGTGGTCTCTTATTGACAACTATGAGTGGACTAGTGGATACACGTAAGAAAATTAATTCTGATTAATTAACATTTAAATAAAACTTCCGTAACGGAGATACAACATACTTTCAAGCGTGGCTTAACAACGTGCCCATGGAGTGAATTTTATTTGAATTAAACGATTTAAGTTCTAAATAATTTCGAATGTTTTGTCCTTATCACTCACATGTCGTCATGATCGTAGAACAATGTCGGATTTGAAAAAAACCAAAATCCACTTTTTATCATATTTGGATACTACATAGAATAAATATTACGGCTATATAAAAAAAATCCATGTGTTTTAAATTTCAAATTAATAAGTCGGTAGAGTGACGGATTTGGTAGACGCTCATAGAAGGATGTGATTTTTCTAGAAAACTGTGTAATTTAATGTTATTATTTTTATTTCAAAACCTTTTGTTTGCTTGTTGCCAAATTTCATAATAACAGAACATGAATTAAAAAGTTATGACAAAAAACTAACATGATTATATTATTTTGAAATGGCTGCCCTGTAAAATTTACTATTTGTCAGATCCGTCACTATTCTACGACTATGACGATATAAACAAGTAAAAGAGATAAAATATCCATAATCATTGACTTATAGTTAATTTATCTATGAGATGTCGTTTTCAACAATTTCACTTACGATTTTGTATTTTTGTCACTTAATTAACATAAAGATACGTTTACACAAAAAAAATGACAGTTCATGTCGACAAATTTTCATACAAATTTAATTTCGACTTTCTACATATGTTGTGTTCATTTTGTCAAATTCTATTGACGTTCTGTTGTTGTGGCAATAAAACTAATCTAGTAAGACGCTGATAAATTTGTACTGTATTTCAGGTCAAGATTCGGCTTAGTGAACGTTGACTTCAACGACCCGAATCGCAAGCGGACCCCTAGAGCCTCCGCCCACTATTACGCGGCTGTGATAAAGAGTCACTCACTTGACCTTTCACAGTCGCGTGGATATTAAAAAAAATATTATAAGATCGTAACTTAGATGTAACATTGGGTGTTGGTTGAAACTTATGGTAAATCATTTTACTGGAGGAGTTAAATTATTTTTAAAAAAAGTGCGTGCGTACAAAGCACACAATTTTCACAGTACAGTCAGAAGTGAAAATTCTTTGGCAAACAAGTCTTTAGTCTTGTTCATATACAAATCTAAAACTTTAGATTACCGAGACTTAGAGGGAGGGAAAAAGGAAGATATGTTAGGAATTTAATGAATTTAATTGTCAAGAATTTATACAAATTATAAATTTAATTTATTTCTTCGATAGTAAAAACACGTAGCATTTTAATTTACAATTCGTCATTTGAGATTTCAATAAATTATTTTGCATAAAATATAAAATACTAATATTTCATAAATTCTCTTTACGAAATTGTAATTTTAAAAATAGGATTTCTATAAGGTAATTCGCCCTTCTAACTCTCTCTCAATCGGTCTCAATCGCTCTCTCCCTTTTCTTCGACAAAAACGCTGCACATCTTCGTGACGCTAATATTATTGTTATTGCGTTTCATCCGGAAAAATTTTACCCTTATGCGCCTAAAGAAGTTTCACTCCAAAAATAAAAATAAACAGTGGCGCTACAACCTATTTTTAGGTCTGGGCCTCAGATTTCTGTATCTGTTTCATGATCATTTGTCAACCTAATATGTAAGTAGGCGTTCAGCTTCCTGTGACACATGCCGTCGACTTTTTGGTTCTAAGACAAGCCGGTTTCCTCACGCTAATGTTAATGAGATAGAGAGAAAGTCCTTTGGTGCACAGCCGAGGATCGAACTTACGACCTCAGGGATGAGAGTCGCACGCTGAAGACACTAGGCCAACACTGCTGCATAACTATATCAACTATTATAAAATAAATAGTTCTCAATTGTTTATATTGTTTTAATTAATTTCGTAATCTCTCAAACGACTGGACCGATTTTGATGAAATTTTTTGTGTGTGTTCAAGGGGATCTGGGAATGGTTTAGATTCACAAATCAGCCCGGCAGATGGCACTGCAGTCGGTACTTTCATACTTTGCTTAATATCTAATCGCTTTAAATATCATGCAGGACAACGTCTGTGGGGTCCACTAGTGTACACATAAAATCCATTGTCATTGTTTTTTATATACCTCAACTGCATATTATTTAATTACGAAAATACTACATAAATCTTTCAAAGTGATATATTATATTATGATGGATGAATTTAAAAACTGCACAATCAGCCATATCAACTGGCATACAAATGTCTAATTATAAATAAAAGTAATCAAGTTATTTATTTTGTGATATAAGTTAGTATCTCAAAACTTATATTCCAAAAACTCCCTCACACAAAGAATCAAGCTTTAAAAATCTCATAATCTTCCATTGGAAAGCGTTACGGTGATTACATAGTTAACTAGCTGCTCGTACCCACGGCCATGTTGGATCCCTCGGTAGTTACTGGATACATATTCTTCCTTATTCATAATACTAATTCTGTGTAATACTGTTTTAACTGAAGCTTAAAGTTTTCTTTACATAACAACGTAAAGATGCGTAAATACAGTAGAAAAAATAGTATAAACTTTTATATAAAACTCAGCATTACAATACATTAATTATTAATTATTGATGAAGGAGGTTAGTGATTCTCAAGACTGAGGTTCTTTAGATCCCAGGTGTGTACTGCTTAATGTTTCTATCTATAATGCAGTGTGGAAACCGTCATGTGTTGGACCCTAACAATCGATATCTCTCCTTTAATATAATATGCCTCAATAGGCAGACATTCGTATCGCTATGGCAACCCATTATACTCAACAACTTTGGTTGTATGTTATTCTGTTTTAATATATGCACAGTCTCTGCCCAATTTTTTCGTTATGTTATTTTAGAGAGCAAGTATAATAAACTTTGTAAATATTGGCGCCTGCAAGAAATTTATGAGCAATCTATTAATTTAGTTTTAATGTTAGGCTTGATTTGAGAACACATCTAGAACATAAACGTTTTAAGCGTTATTAATTATGTCTTTAGAAGGTACGGTTTTACAAGTTTTTATCAAAACTAGATTCTTATTTTTTCGCATATGGTGATAACTTTTACTGCTTTCTTCTTCTAAACAACTTGAACTCTTTTAACTAAGTTCTCTTGTTTCTCTTTACTCAATTTGGGAGAAAAGAAAAAGCAGCGTTTCAACTAAATTACTAATTTTAGTTAGCGTGATTTATTGGTCTTGGTAAGGTTTAAAATAAAACCAATTTAAAAAAAACACATTTTATTAAATCATCCTTGATTATAAAACTGATGTTGAGGATTCGTGTTATTAAAGATACCGCAAAAATTATTTGTCTCCAAATCACATTTCTCCTTTGTCACCGTGGACACCTCTTCTAAGGTTGGCGAGTTTGTCGTTTCGAGGATTCTTGCACACACACACACGAACCACATGACGGTGAGCCTCAGCAACATTCCTACAACAAGGTACAATGTTTAGCGTTAATAGGTTTGTATGTTCTGACGTCGTAAGGTCCAGTGACCTTAAGGCGACATTCAGAAACGAGACTTAGTTCGCGTTGCTTGCCCTTAGTTTATTATAAGCACACCCGTTTATAAGGCGACAAATTATTCACTTCGACAACATTGGACACTAAATTAGTTGTTTATAATTTAATGTTTAGGAATATTTTTGATGACAGTGGTAAAGTTTCTTGTTTTGTTTATATGTAATATTATGTTCTTAGTTTAAATTTTGTATAATTAAGTTTTCTATCGTATTAGTATAAAGTTACTGTAGGAATAGAAAATAAATAAATAAATTATGATGCGTAATACTGTTTATGAGAAATTATTATTTTTAAATTCATATATGTGACTTTGCCTATACTTTTATACGTAAGAATCCGAAGTGCTTTTGACAATTATAAAACAATAATAATTATTGTTCTTTTAGAGTCGCAGGTAATTTTTATTGTATTTTTCCTATTTTGATAAACTCTGGTTCCCCAAGGTCAACTGCGTTATACAGGCTCTTAAAATATTTTTAAAAATATAAGTAATCGTTGAAAGTTGTTTTAATAATCCATTATTAATTCCGTTTGAACAAGTTATCCAAATTAAATTGTACGTGTCCTTATTTCTCGTAATATTATATATACACCTTGATAGAATCTAGAAAAGTAACATTAAATTGTTTTATGGACAATTAATAAAATTATGTAGGTTATGAAGTTAGACATCATTGTCTGTACGAACAAGAAAAACATCAGCAAGGCAATCATTAATTAAAAACACCAAACAGATACAACAAAATATTTTGGTCATATATCTATCAAATATATTGTCTGTAGACAATGACTTTTCTCTTACGAGTTAAATGAAATCTAAAGATATAGTTTTAAAATACGTACCATAAGAAACACAAATAACAACACAAGGCACAAACTTGAAACTACGTCGAATGTATGAGTCACGGCTTAGTCACTACATCATTGCAATATCAATTGTTTCCTGTACTAAAGTTTCATAGATTTTTTTGGACAGAGGGACAATTGGCAAATGTCAACGAAAATTAATTATAATATCATAATTTCCTTCTAGTGTCTGACAAGACATTATGGCTTCTCGTTTGTTGCTTGCTGAGCAAATCGCGTTGTATGGTCAGGTGTGCTTTATATGTCTGACTGCATCCATTTAGAATGTACTATGCTAATTGCTTGCAAAAAAATAGGACAAAAACAACACAACTTCCGACTTTTTATTAAATTATCTATTGAGCGCCATCTACGCGTCACTTCAAATATAACTGTATAATAATAAATGTTTGTAGCTTACTCCTATGTCCAATAGATGGCGTAATTACAATAAGATGGAATGATAGCAAACAAAAAAATATGAAGTGGTAAACGAAATAAATAATCACCCAATTTTCATGTTACCATAATGTTATAAAAAAAAAGAAAAAATATTAGTCTATCAGAACACTGAGATAACTGCCACCTTGTGGCTGTTTAAAAATACGACGACACGCCATAAAACCAACTTCTGCGAAATAAAGATAGGTATTTACTTTTTATATAAAATATTTTTATACTTATGCAGTATGCTTCTTAAATGATTTTTAAGTACAAGAAATTTTAAAAATAGGAATAGTTGGGTCACGATTTGCAACAAATTCAATTTGCGAAGATCTCTTAAACGAATACGCACTGAAGTATTTCCGAACCAATTATTCGACGGGCCCTTTAAGAAAATAGCGTACCTACTCATTTTTAACTAGCGGCCTGAAAGATATTCAGCCAGTTGATTAAACAGCTAGGCAAATGACTAGGATCGATTACGTTTTATTACTTGCCTAGCCAGTTGACTGTTAATTTAAATTTAATTCTACGTTCGCCATACTCAAACTCGAAACGAAACTCTTCAAACTGTCAATATGGCGTCGGCAAACCACATCTTTGATGATGTTTTCCAAATTTTCCAAAAATGAAAATCAAAAAGTAAGTGTAGGGACAATAATATTGTGAATTTGTCTCAAGAAATTTAATTTTAAAAGATTTTTTTTTAATGTCATATGTTTTTCTTTTTTATTTCTGCCAAATAATGACTCTATCGTACGAATGGCCTAAGCCTTTGCCAGCCAGTTTATTAAATGTTGTAACAAACGCAACGGCTGAATATCTTTAATTATAAACGGCGCTGTTTAGTTAAAAGGCTAGGCTGTTAATTGAACGGCTAATTAAGCTAGTTGGCTGCGACATCAACTGCGGTGAGCCTCTGTTGTTTGTTATATATTTACTTAAGTTAAAGAATATATAAAGTCACACTAGACACCTTCATACTCCTTTGAAGTAGTTTCTCATATATACATATTTGTAATGAATACGATCTTAGTGGAACTAACTAACTGTCTTTTGCGCATCAATTTTCTATACAATTTCTTTAGTTTACATAAATTGTTTTCGAATAGTGTATGTTCGTGCGTT